CCTGTTCAGGGTGGGGATGCTCCCAGGTGTTACACAGGTGTCCCACACGTGTTCCCTGTCGCAGGCGCCTGTCCCACGTGTCGGGCCATCGCTCCTATTACCTGTTCAGGGTGGGGATGCTCCCAGGTGTTACACAGGTGTCCCACACGTGTTCCCTGTCGCAGGCGCCTGTCCCACGTGTCGGGCCATCGCTCCTATTACCTGTTCAGGGTGGGGATGCTCCCAGGTGTTACACAGGTGTCCCACACGTGTTCCCTGTCGCAGGCGCCTGTCCCACGTGTCGGGCCATCGCTCCTATTACCTGTGTGGGGCCGGGGCACTGCTGCAACACGCGCTCGTCTCCTTCACCTTGGGGAAGCTGTTGCCCAAGGTATGGGGGGCTGGAGGGCCCGGGGGGCTCTGGGGGGGTCCAGGATCCAGGGATGGTCTGGTCAGGCCCCACGTGCCCCTGATGACCCCCTTTTCCCTCAGGGTTTCCTGCCCATGACGGTCCCTGACCTGCTCCGAGGCGCCGTTTTTGTGAGTGACCCCCCGTGCCCCCGACCCCCTGACCCTCCGGGACTCCCCTGACCCCTCCTGACCCCTGTGACCCCCAGGAGGGCTGTGGGGTGCAGCTCAGTGCCACCCCCTCGCCTGTTTACACCATCGACCCATCGCGCTTCGAGGATCTTTGCCTGGCTGGGACCTCGGAGGTGGGAATTGCAGGTGGGAAATTGGGCAAAATGAGGGGGAGGAGCGGGGAAAAACAGGGGAAAAGGGTGGGAAGGGGGGGTGCAAACAGGTTTGGGGGGGCTCCGTGTGCCCCCTGGCCCCCTCAAACCCAGCCTCTGGCCCAGGGTATTTCATGGACCACGCGGTGCAGCTGCAGAACCTGCCCATCAGGTACGGGGGGGGTCTCCCCCCACTCCAGCTCCCCTTTCCCTTTTGGGGTCCCTTCACCCCTTCTCAGGGAGTCCTGGGCATTTAGGGCACCCCCCAACAGCCCCTTTTCCCCCTCAGGGTCGTCTGTTCCAGCACCTGCTACCGCGCCGAGACCGACACGGGGCGGGAGCCGTGGGGGCTCTACCGTGTCCACCAGTTCACCAAGGTACTGGGAGCACTGGGAGGCCCCCCCGGGGGGTGCAGGAAAGGGGAGGTCAGCCCTGCATGCCCCCCAAAGGTGGAGATGTTCGGGGTGACGGCGACGGAGCGCGGGACGGAGAGCGAGGAGCTGCTGGCCGAGTTCCTGGGACTGCAGAAGGAAATCTTCTCGGAGCTGGGGCTCCATTACCGGTGAGGGGGGTTTTCGGGGTGTCCCCTCTATGTGTGTCACCCCAAAATCCCTCGTGACGCCCCTAAATCCCCCCCACTGCCCGCAGGGTCCTGGACATGCCCACGGAGGAGTTGGGGCTCCCTGCATACCGCAAGTTCGACATCGAGGCCTGGATGCCTGGACGGGGCAAATACGGGGAGGTGAGGGGGGACATGACCCCAGAATTCCAGGAGGACCCTGATATTTCGAGGGGTGTGCAGGGTGATCCCCCCCTAGGCCATCCAAGGGCAGAGACCCCCCTGTTTATGGGACAGCTGGAGGATTCCCCCCCACTTTTATAGCAAATCAGGAGATTGACCCCCATTTAGGGGGTCCCTGGAGTGGGGGCGGGTGTCTCCCAAAACCCTCAGAACTCTCTTTTTGAGCCTCACCCCCCAGATCTCCAGTGCCTCCAACTGCACCGACTACCAGAGCCGGCGGCTGAACATCATGTACAGCGATGGGAGGGGCCGCCTGCGCCACGCCCACACGGTGGGTCCCCGAGCCCTGGGGCGGGGGTCCCCAAAACCTCGGGGGAGGCCTCCAAGCCCCCCTAAACCCCCTGACCCCTCCAGGTGAATGGCACAGCCTGCGCCGTGTCCCGGATGCTCATCGCGCTCCTGGAGAGCAACCAGCTGCCGGTAGGTTTAGGGGGGCCTGGAGGGGGGTTCCCGTGGGGAACTGGGGGTGCAGGGAGGGCTCACCCCACCCTGCCTCCCCCTTGTCCCCCAGGATGGCCGTGTCCGTGTTCCCCCAGTCCTGCAGCCCCTGGTGGGGCAAGAGGTGCTGTCCCCACCCCCCGCACCCCTCCTGCGCTACATCGGCCCCAACCAGCCCGGGGGGGGCCCCGGGGGGGACCCCAAAAACAGGGCGGACACTAGGGGGGGCCCCTGAGGCGAGGGGAGCCCTGGGAGGACCACGAGGGCAGGAGTCGGACAGAACATGGATGGACATGGGCTGACAGGGACACACGTGAGACAGGACAGACGTGATGTGGAACACGTGTTACGTGTGCGACACATCACGGGCGGGACACCCCCTTGTCTGCGTCCCTTGCAATAACAAGTCCTGAAATAAAGTCTTGTACCCCCCTCCATAAGCTGCAGCCCGTGGGCACACGCGTGTTCTGCTGTCTGTGCCCTGGGGGTGCTCTGGGCACACGCGTCCCCCCCCACGTGTGTTCCCTGCACGCACACACGCGCCAGCACACACGTGTCCCGCACACACAGACACATCCCTGAACACACGCGTCTCTTCCCTCCTTTATTTCCCGTTGTCCCCCCAGCCTCCCGTGGCCCCCCCAGGCCTGGGGGTGGGCAGGGACAGCTTTGGGGGCTCCTCCACACTGGGGGGTGGGGGAAGGACCCCCGAGTCCATGCAGGGGCTCCCTGGGGGCCCCTCAGTCTGGGCAGCGCCCGCTGTTGATGACGATATCGTCGTACTCTTCCTGTGGGGGGAGGCAGTTTGAGGGGGCTGCAGGAATTTGGGGGGGCTGCCTGGAGCCCCCTCAGCTTACGAGAGGAGCCCAAGGGGTTTTTGGGTGCTGTTTTGGGGTGCTGTTTGTTCTGGGGGGGGTTACTGACCTCACTGTCCTCGGCCCCCCTCTCGCTGTCGCTGTCATCGCTGTCGCTGTCGCTGGGGGGGTCCTGGGCCCCAAAGTGCCGCAGCAGGGGGGGCAGGCGGGGGTCGGGGCGGCGCCGGGCGCTGTACAGGGGGGTGTACCCCGAGAACGTGCGGGGGTCGGGCCGGGCACCCCCCCGCAGGAGGCACTCGGCCACCTCGGGGCTCTGCGCCTCCACGGCCAAGTGCAGGGGGCTGCGGCCGCAGCTCGGCTCCTGGGGGGGGCACAGCGGGGTCAGGGGGGGCTCTGGGGGGCTTGAGGATCCCCCAGCCCGCTTTGGGGGGCACCCACCGGCCTGTCGGGGTCGGCACCCGCGCGGAGCAGCAGCTGCACCAGCTCCAGGTCCCGGCGCAGGACGGCGACGTGCAGGGGGGTGTAACCTGGGAGGGGGAAAGGGGAGTCGGGGGGTCCCCAAAACCATGAGCCATGTCACTGTGTGACCCCTACCCCAAACTGTGTCGCCAAACTGTGTTCCCAACTTTCCACACAGCCCCACGGCGTCCTGCAACCCCCCGCCATGTCCAACCGCCCCCCCGTGTTCCCCCCAAAACCATGTGTCCCACCCACAAAACCACGTTCCTACAGTATTCCACCACCCCCTGCCCTGTCCCTCCCACCAAAACTGTGTCCCCACAGTATCCCCCCCCTCCCCTGCCGTGCCCCCCACTCTCTGCTGTGTCCCCCACGTCCCCAGTGTGCGCTCTGGACCCCCCCTCACCGTCATAGTTGACGCTCTCCAGCTGCGCCCGCAGCTCCTCCTCCTCCTTCTGGTGCTCCGGGGGGGTCCCCGATGTGCCCTGCGGCTCCGAGGGGGTCTCCGGGGGCTGCCGGGGCTCGGGGGCCGCCTCCAGGAGCTCCCCCAGGAGGGCGCGGGCACAGGCGGGGTGCCCCTCACGACAGGCGAGGTGCAGGGGCGTGTGCCCCCCCCGCTCCCGCACACAGAGCCCTGCACCCGCCGCCCGCAGCCGCCCCACGGCCCCCGCCAGCCCCAGCACCACCGCGATGTGCAGAGCACTCTGGGGGCAGGGGGGGCACGGGGTGAGCCCAAACACACCCCAAATCCTCCCCAGACACACCCCCGCCAGCCCCAGCACCACCGCGATGTGCAGAGCGCTCTGGGGGCAGGGGGGGCACGGGGTGAGCCCAAACGCACCCCCAAACACCCCTCAAAACCACCCCCAAACACCCCCTAAACCCCCTCAAAGACATCTGAAACACTCCCCAGAAACACCCTCAAACACCCCCAAAAATGCCCCCAGCCCCCCCACGATGTGCAGAGCACTCTGTGGGCGGGGAGGGCAGGGGGTGAGCCCAGGGGGGCTCAAACACCACCCCCCGAGACCCCCATCGCAGCTCCACAGCCAAACCCACCTGGTGCTGCTGAGACTGGGGGGGCCTAAAACCTCCCGAAACACCCCCTGCAACCCCCCCACAGCTCCCCCCCAAACACACCCCCGGAGAGCCTGGGGGGGTCTCAAGGCTCCCCAACTCCCCCCCAAACACCCCTTGAGCCCCCGCTGCAGCCCCCCCACCTGCCCCAGGTCGTTCTGCAGGTCCAGGTACGGGGAGCGCTCCGTGTGCCGCAGGATGGACTCCAGGAATTCCTCGTGCTCGTGGATCACGGCCAAGTGCAGCGCCCTGGGGGGTAAGAAGGGCTTGGGGGGGGGGGCTGAAACACCTCGACCCGCGGGGGGGGCCCCCCAAAAGGCAAGGATGGGGGGGACAGGGATTGAGGGAACCCCCGGGGGGGGCCAAAGAAATCCCTGGTCCATGGCAGGACCCCATGGAGCGTCCCCCTCCAAGGGCCGGGACCCCCAACCACCGGGCTGGGGGGATTCCGTGTCCCCCCTCTCCCCACCCCTGCCCAGCACTCACGTGTCGCCGTCCTCGGTGACGAAGCTCAGGACGTGCCGCAGCCAGGCCGAGGGGTCCACGGGGGACTCGGGGAGCTCCGGGCCGGGGCTGTCGGGCAGCGGCTGCCCCAGCGGTCCCTCGCCCAGCGAGCCCAGCCCGCTGTCGCACCACTCATCGCCCTCGGGCCTCTTAGCCTCGCCGGGGGCCGGCGGGGCGGCGGGGGCCGCGGCCGCCATCGCCGGGGCCGCCTCAGGCCGCCATCACCGGGGCCGCCTCGGGCCGGGGCCGCCTCAGGCCGCCTCCGCCATCGGGGGCCGGGGAATCCCCGCCGGGACCCGCTTCCGGGGCCGCGCGGGGCACGCCGGGAAACGGGGGCGCGCTCAGCCAATCAGCGCCGCCAGCCCGGGCACGCGCAGCTCTGTCCTCGAAAGCCCCGCCCTGCGCCGCGCGGTGCACGCCGGGAGGTGTGGCGGGGCGGCCGCGCGGTGCACGCCGGGAGGTGTGGCGGGTCAGCCGCGCGGTGCACGCCGGGAGGTGTGGCGGGTCAGCCGCGCGGTGC